ACCGTAACTAAATGCTTAAAAATCCCTACTGGTAGGAGGCAGACAAGTGGGCTATTTACAGAGCGCAGCTGAGCTGAATTAGGGACAACCGAGAGCAAACCCAGGGAGTGGCAGGGTGGAGGACTTGAACCTGGGACACTGGATTACAATTCCAGCACCTGAACCACTCAGCCACGCTGCCTCCTATGCTCCTATCCAAATACTGTACCACTGTGGCTAGTGTCGGTAATACTGCATCTTAGATGCACAAAATTCAATTGTATATATCTAAAATGTTATCTCCCTAGATCTCCTCCTGGGTTTTCCCCAGATTTAGACAGCCTAATTGTAAATTCAGGTTTTCTTGCATTGAAGAGACTGAGAAAGTGATTGCTGCTCTTTCAGGTACTGCATACATTCATGGAATGAAACATGCAACTGGGAACTTTGTAATTATCATGGATGCTGATTTATCTCATCATGTGAGTTTTTTCACTTGCAGATTAAAGATAGTGTGTATTTGTCTCTAAACTGGAGTTGTTTATAAGTTTACAAAATATCACATTGTTAGAATTAGAAGTACCATGATAGGCATCACACTTTAAAGTTGTTTTACTTTCAAGACAAGTTGAGATGACACAATATTTTTAACATTGTTTTGTGCTGGTTTGTCAACAAGAGTCATCTTACAGCAAGGAAACTGCTTAGAGCTACATAATTTTGCCATTTCACCATAGGACCTTTATGACCGTGAACGGGATTTTACTGGGAAACAGTAAAGATAAAATAGTAGAAGGGCCATTTGTGATAGTGCAAGTGGGGCTGGAATACAATATCTGCCTTTACAAGATGAGGGATGAGGGCCCGAGAGGAGAAAGGAAAAAAGAGAAATAGGAGTGGTCATTTCATAAAATGCTTATTGCCTGAGTTTTGTTGGGACAGATACTGTTGATTTCTGTGAAGTTGATCCCTAGAAGTATTATAATTTTGTTAGAGACGGAGATCTATTTGTTTATCTGTGATGAACGGCCACCATCATATCCAGAAGTCTTGTTTTCAATTATAAATTTTATCAATTTTATGAAATGAATTTTCTTATGCCAACAGCCAAAATTTATTCCAGAATTCATCAGGTATGTAAGAAATGTATTGCATCCCCAGATCAGTGCATTTACCTATTTTTAGTTTCTTTTGTGGTAAGAAAGATAGATAGATAGATAGAGAGAGAGAGAGGGATAGATAGATAGATAGATAGATAGATAGATAGATAGATAGATAGATAGATAGATAGATAGAGAGAGAGAGAGAGGGATAGATAGATAGATAGATAGATAGATAGATAGATAGATAGAGAGATAGAGAGAGAGAGAGAGGGATAGATAGATAGATAGTTTATAATGAAAATAAATGAAATGAATTTAAAGTCTGCTTATGAACCAATTAACCTACATGGCATTATAGCTTATCCCAGTCCCAGTGTCATGAAATAAAAGGGACTAATGTAACTCCCCCCTGGATGGGATGTTAGTCCATTGTAGGTTACCCTCCCCCCTCTTCTCTCATCCCCTTAGCATTTTGTCAAGCTTCCCTGAAAGTTCATTGGACTGATCTCTACCCCTGATTGTATAGTCAAGTGTATCTCCCAGAGACACAACACAATGATCTGGCAAGGTCCCAAACCCACACCTCTTGACCTGCAGTCTATTGTGCTACCTGTTAACTCTTTAACTCCCAAGATCTGATTGTTAATTCTCCCCCCTAGCTGTCACACATTTCCTTTATAAACCAGTTTCAAGAATTTGGTGTTAGATCAAGATTGCAACCTCTAACTAATAAGTTTGAGTATTCTTATAACCTGATTGCAGTTCTTAAAATGTATTGATATTATAGGGAGGAGCTACATTTTATTCACTTTTGGGAGTTCAAGGGTTAAGTCACTGCAATACAGTGCACTTATACATCTGTGATTATTTTGGTCACATGATGCATTTTGCCCAATTGCATGTGAGCAAAAATTTTTGTTGGATTATAAGAGGGGATATCTGGCCATCAGAACTATAAGTAGGAATGAAGATCTGAGACATCCAGAAACTGCTATCTTCAATTGATACCTTCTTGGACACCTTGAAAACCTTTACAAAATCACTCTTGTTACATTTTTTAAAAAACTGGACCAGCCAGAGTTCAGTATGATTATTTCATTCTTATGAATTTTTTGATACAGAAAGCAGAAGGAAGGAGATTATGACGTTGTATCTGGTACAAGGTATATTGGAGATGGAGGAGTGTTTGGCTGGGATTTAAGAAGGAAACTGATAAGGTCAAATGAATTTTTCTTAATACTGTAAACTACTAACTATGGAAAGCTGGTTAACTAACTTAGAACAGAAACCTTAGATCAAAAAAGTGAAACAAATCAAGTTCAAAAGTACCTTATATTGTCTAATCCCACTTCCATGTTGGAATGAAAAAGGGGAATCTTGCATAAACAAAGTCTGTTGAGATCAAACACATTCTCTTTATGTGATTACTGTACCTCCTTTTAACATGGTTGCATAATTTTCAGTTGTTACCTCCTACACTATAATATGTTGTGGTAAAGCAAAACTTGAGATACTTGCTGGTACATTCAGATGCAAGTTATGGGTGACTAAAACTTTATTGCTTGCAACTATTAATTTTTTGCCACTTAGGTGCCATAAGGTGATAAAGGAATTTTTTTTCTAATTTTGGGCCAGGAATCATAAGTAGGAATGCTGACCCTGTCTCAAGACAAGTCATGTCACGTTGATTTGTTTGTGTTTGTTCTTTTCCAGCCGTGGGGCAAATTATCTGACACAGGTTCTTCTCAGGCCTGGTGCATCTGATCTGACAGGAAGTTTTAGGTACAAAACATTGCACCTTACATACACCAAATGCAAATATGGCGTCCAATTTGAATTGCCATTGTTCTAGACTGACTAGCCTCTCACACATGTAATAATCCTTTTGTGTTTCCACGTGAAGACGAGGCTAGTCAGTCCAGAGCAATGGCAATTCAAATTGGATGCCATATTTGCATTTGGTGTATTAACAGAGCTTAAACTTCTCCTACAAAGCCTGATTGAAAGCTCTGTTCCCTGCCTCCACAAATTCTTTTCAAGTAAAACCAAACCTTTACAGGTCTTTATTAGGATTCTTTGCTAGGATTTTTTTTTTCACACTTTTGAGTGGATATGCATTTAGCTGATTCTTTTATAATCTGCACACAAAATAGAGAGTTGTCTTTGAAACTGCCATTTTTCCCTTTTCTGACAGATTATACAAAAAGAAAGTGCTTGAGAACTTGGTGGATGCCTGTGTTTCCAAAGGATTTATCTTTCAGATGGAAATGATTGTGCGGGCAAGGCAGTTTGGCCACACTATAGGGGAGGTTAGTTACAGTGTTAGTACCTTTTCTAATTAATATCAAGGGGGCAAAGCCCTTGAATCAGGTCTGTTTTTGAATAAAGGAACACAATCTATGGCAGAATGCAATTTCAATTTTTTTTTCTATTTTGAACCAGGTGTCCTTTTCAGCAAGCTTTAGATTGTTATGGTATGGTCATTTCCTGGGTCTGCTAGTTTACTGCATCTCTGATTGCTATGTAGCCATGTTACCATGACCTTGCTGTGGCAGACTCACCTTACTTTTTGTCTTCAGAATGTTTATACAATTGATAGGAATAACTTGAGCTGTATCAGCAAATGACACAAATAACACCCATTTAAAGTTCAGTGTGTGATATGGCTGTCAGTGTATCTCTCAGAAATGTTATTAATATACAATACAAAAAATGAGAGAAATGGGAGAAATGAGAAATTTTGTGCCAGACTCTGTGCTTGCTCTCTTTGCCAGGTGGCACTGCAATGAAGACAGGGCCTACATGTTTCTAAATGCTTATCTTACCATCATATAAATGCAATTCTTTCTTATTTGTAGTTTGTCTTCCTGTTTTGTTTAGGTCCCTATCACATTTGTGGATCGTGTTTATGGTGAATCAAAACTTGGTGGCAGTGAAGTGGTCTCTTTTGCCAAGGGACTCCTTTATTTATTTGCCACTACATAACAGAGAGGCTAAATGGGTTAGTTACTGTTGAAATAGATTAAAGGAAGAGGGGTGGGTTTCAGATGTATTCTGAAATAGTTAACAAAAGAGAATTAAAATACTAAACTGAGTTGCCACAGGGATGGGCTTCCAGTGCATGCTTATCGCTGTGTGGGAAGTTGACATTCATAGGATTGCCTAGGAGACCTAAAAAATAAGATTGTTGACTATGGGTGAGAGTAGAAATCAAGTTATTTGCAAGTCCAATTGGGAAAACAGGAAACTGTAAACTTATCAACTTGGGAAGATTGCATCAGTTAGAAATGCATGAATAAACCTGAAATGTGAACTTTACTTTGTTAAATGAATGGATTCTTAAATGAATGGATTCTGAAGTAGTTGTAGGAGGCACCTTCCTTTTTTTCCCTCCTTTTCTTTTTAAAAACGGTTTTATTTTTGTTTTTCGGATTTATGAAACTTGCCTTGAACTGTTGAGACTTGGTGTTTGGAGGCAGTGTTTAAAAAAATTCAGTTTTACAAACGAAATAATCGAAGCAATATGAACATCTGTGAGTGCTATCATGAGTTTTATTCAGAATAATTCAAATTAACAGAAGCAAAGATAACTATAAAAAATCTTCTTTATATATATAAAAATATGGTTACTTACAGTAATAACAAAATAAAAGTATTGTGGTAGAATATGGCCACAAATTCATTGCATTTCATGGTGCGATGCTCTCAGGGGAACGAAGAGAGAACTTTTTAGATATACCAGACTCATAAGCGAAAACATGGTGGGTTAGAAATACTGTGGAATTCCAAAAGTTGGCGAGTTACTGCGAATGGTATCGTTTTATTTCTAAGGCTCGGTTTTCTTGGGGTCGTTGGAATCAGCTTCACGTGTTACAAAGAAATGATAGAACTGCAAAAACAACCAGCAAGATTTAAGTTTCTTGCTTACTGTCGTCTTTCTGTGAACGCGGTTGTCCAAAAATATTTCAATTCCTACATCAAATACTAGCGCTGGGAGATTAGTAAGATTCTAAAAAACCTTATAAACATGCAATAAAAAGCCTCACACATTTTATGTAAGATTCCGTTGTTCTATTTGGTTATTTTTTTGTTCTTTACAAAGTTGCAGAAAACCAGTAGCCCGTGTTTACTCAACGAGAATACGCCACGCTTAAATAACCTGGTTCAGCCGCAGTTTTTTTAGTTGATAGTTCATTCACATGTTATCATGATTCTACGGGACAAAACGTAAGGGAAACTTTCACATCGCCGAGGCTTTTAACAATATAGGTCACTACAGAGTTTCTTCGTTTGTCACGACATGCAACATTATCCTCGACGCCAAAGAAACGTAAACTAGTGGTTCCATTAGAGCAAAAGACAGGATATGAAGGATGGACTTAAATGGGGCAAAGACCATAAAGTATGAAGAAGTTTGGTGGGGATTCAAAACGACCATGACTAAGATTCCGAGAGACGTATTTTGGACTACGGCGCTCCAGACCCAGTTTCCACAAGCAAATGCTTTTTGCTCTCCTTTGTTTTACAAACAGGAGTGTTGGTTTTCTAATTCGCACAATTTTAATTACCAGTTAAGAGTGTTTCATGTCTCCTAATTTCTCGTAAAATTATTGTAGTGAGTCATTAAAAGTAGCTTGTGCGAATAGAGACCTTAATCGTTTATGAAAAACTAGATAATTCTTTTGATAAAGGGTAACATAATAAAGGTCGAAAGGGGAACATTGTCGCACAAAGTTGGCAATAATAAGGAAATGTTTCTCTCATCGCAGAGCGGCTGTTTTCCTTGAGGAATTTAGTGTTCGAAGTCTATTAAACCCGCTAACTAACTATTAACACAAGATTACTATAATAATCATTTGCGTTCATTTTCTTAAATGAAAGTAGCCCATAGATATATATTCCAAAATAAAATTCGTATCATGCAAACTACATATCAAAATACCTACATATTAAACCACATCTCAAGCTCGTACTTCTTTCTCTTGTTACACATTGGCAATTAAACTGAATTAGGAGGGGCGTTTTTCAGATCATTTCCGAAAATGAAGACCGGTAGGAAAGAAACCTTAAGTGGACTAGGAATGAATTGCACATTTGATTTCAACGGCACTTCCAAAAGAAAACAAACAAAACAACGTAAATTTCGAGAAATCAGCGCTTGCTAAATAAATAAACAAGCCAACAACTAGCTCACCAACTAACTAACCACAAACAGAAACTGTTTCTCTGAGTTGTTTTGTGTTTCATTTGGCTAATTCCATCCCGTCGCTTTAGTTCAAAACGCTCCCAAACGCTCTCTTTCATGCATGAATAAATCAATGATCTAACCGGTCAAAGCCAAGGTAGCCCTGACAATGGCTTACTAAAACGTTTACACCGCTTACTGGCCCGAAAAGCTCAAAGTTTTAAACATATTAAACCAATCAGCTTTGGAGCAAAAGTTGCAGAAGACATGAGAAATGGCACTTTAACGTTCTCTTTTCTTCCTCATTGGGCTAACAGTATGGCACTCCACCTGAAATGATTAGAAATTCATTTTCGGACTTAAATCGGAAGAACGCCCTAAATCGCCATAAAGCTAACTAAAGTCGTAGACGAAGTTAAAATTCGGGGGCTCGGCAGGTATGGGCGGCGGAGTTTCGGGAATGGTTATATTCTCCAGATCCAAGAGTCTCAGTTTCATTTCCATATTTAGAAGGGTCTCCAACTCTTCATGTGACTCCGTTGAAGGCATCTGTACGCAAGAAACAAAATAACATTCGAGAGCTTAAAAAGCGCGCCCAGTTTCTTTCAGGTATCTCGCATAACCACAATCACATTTACTTAATGACTAACTAAGAGGGCCGGACGGGACATATCTGGCTCGAGGTCATGAGCGATATCCGCCCGTCACCACCTCGAGTTAAAGATTTTCTTGTCCGGCCTGACTATGTGACTAAGCATTTTACTCGGTGACTAAATATTTCATCATATGCCACTGCTCCCTTTTCTTCTTGAGGGGCCGTACGTTAGGACTGAACTGTAAGGTTCATCTACTTACAGCCAACGGATTTTTTCACATTTCAGCACAAACTATTGTCTTTCACTTACACAAGGCTAAAAGTCTCTCTGAGGACAAAACGCTAGGCCTTACACAACGGATTGATGTTCAAAGATAGTGAAAGCTTACTACAATCGAACAAAAGCCACATCGTTCGGCTTATAAAAGTTACAGTCTACGTAACTAACCCCTTTGTTTAGAAGCGTTGCGAAGCCGTCTGTCCAAATGGCAAACTAAAACGAAATAAAACAGTTCAAGAAATCATTTGATCGTTGAGGATCTAATTTATCACCTATCATGGGATTTATCATCAATGCATTTTATACCGAGGTGCTCATTAATCGGGAGTATTTCCAATTTCTTCTGGATGATCTACAATCGAGGGAAGGGAACGCTAAAAAGGTAAAATATCTTACGAAAGAAGAATCAAAATTCAACTACTTACTGTTTTTTGGTTCGCTGCGATGAAATCGAGATGTTTCTCCTCTGCTTCAGTCTCGTACATCAGAGAAAAACATAACGGGATGTACGGCTGTGGATAAACAAAAAACGCACAGAGTGAGAAGGAATAGAACCCAAGCGAAACTTCGCATTTCATTTAGGTAAGACAGGGAAAAACAAACAGCTCTTTTGTTCTTAGTAAACGGAAAACTGGAGCCGTTTGCATTTAAGTATAAGGTAACTTTGACACAAACCTCAAGATAGGAAGAAAAGAGGGGCGAGGGTATTCATGCACGGTGAAGATCGCTTCAAGTTTATTTGCACAGATTGCAAACTACGAACCAAAAAACAAATTTATGAAGACGGACAAGCCGCGAAGAGGTGGACTAACTCTTTTTTCCCCAATATCTTAATGTCTACTCTCTTCTCTGTCTTCAAAACATTTCTTATAATTGCAGCTCTTGGAATTTGTGGTAAGATGAAAAAAAAAATGTCCTGTTGTTGTTACTTTTCTCTCTTTTGTCAACTTTTTCACTCTAGCTCTCGTCCCATTTCCAAACCGCACTTTTCTAATGTATTTCCTTTTCTGGCTCCACTTTGAAAAAACGACAGTAAACCT